CATGGGGTGATGTGGGTCAGGGACATGCATGGGGTGATGTGTGGGGGGGACATGCACGGGGTGACATGGAATGGGTCACATGCATGGGGTGACATGGGATGGGGGTCATGCATGGGGTGATGTGGGTCAGGGACACGCATGGGGTGACATGGGATGGGGGACATGCATGGGGTGATGTGTGTGGGGGATATGCATGGGGTGATGTGGGTCAGGGACATGCATGGGGTGATGTGGGTGGGGGACATGCATGGGGTGACATGGGATGGGGGACATGCACGGGGTGATGTGGGTGGGGGACATGCACGGGAGGACATGCGCTGGGGGTTGCGGGCATGGGGACACGTGTGGAGGGACATGGGTGACAACGGGTGGAGGGATGTGAGATGGGGGACACAGGATGGGGACATGGCCTGGGGAACATGGGCTGGGGACAGAGCAGGGGGATGCATGCTGGGCTCAGAATCTTGTAATTACAGAAGTCATCTAATTTTTCCCCTTTTTACAAAACGTTCTCCGGAGTTTCTTGTACCCTAAGCTTCATCAGAAGCCCGCGTTAAGAGCAGAGGGCTGCTCAAACCACCTCCTTTATACCTCTCCTTGAAGACAGATGGACTTGCAAAATTTACACACACCAAATTTTTCAAACTTCCTCTTAAAATCCTCCTTCTGCACTGCAGGGGTGGGAAATCCTTCATTGCCTGGTGTGATTAATGCCCCTTTTCCCTAAACGCAGAATCTCTTTCAGGTTTCACTGAAGCATCGAGAATCGCCTACTCCGAAGTAACAGTGCCCAGGCGGCTGGAGGCAAAGGACGGGACCTTCAGAGAGGTCATTTGCTTTTTAGGAAACGCTTTTTAGACCCCGGGTCTAGACCACGGCCTCTTCAGGGGCCATGGGTGGGTGCCAAAGGGAGAGCGGCGCGAGGAGACGGCTCTGGCTTCCCAGCCAAAATCAGCCTGTAAATAGTGTTTCCACTGTCGGATTAATTTCTGAAATTAATCAGCGCCTCGGCCGTTCCAGGGGGACGCGTCCTATTTAATAATGGCAGAAGGAAACCACCACGTCGTCCGTCTGACGCAGGCAAAGTAAGGCTCTTCCCCAATTTTCCTTCCTCTGCTATTTTTTACGCAGGGCCATTACGGGGAATTAATTAACCCGCATCGAGGATTTCTGCTTTGCTTTTCAGAAATTTGATAGCCAAGGACATCCCAGTTTTCACGTACAGTCCGGAGGGACACCTGATAACCGAGTTTCCATATATTCAGGTAAGCTCAGACGTCTGTCAAGGATGCATCAACACCCAGAATGACACCAGTGGATCTGAGCAAGGGATGGCTTTCTGTTTCTAAAAAAAAAATCCATTATTTTTATACCATTTGTTTAAAAAAAGGAAGGAAATTGTATAGAGACTGACAAAAACTGGGAAAACAATTTCAGATTGATCAGCACGCTTGAGTTCCCTTTCAGATTTTTAAAGTTTTTAAAATAATTTTACTCCACCAAAAGAAAAAATCGAGAAATCAAAAAATACCCCCTGAAAATTCATCATTATCCAATGATGAGCTCTCAGGCTCCTGCTTTTTCCCTGCTTACCTTTTATGCCTTAATTTTTTTTTTTTTTTTGCACATGAAATACCCCTTCCAAAGTGGTGAAGGGTGGATTTGGGGAAGTTTTATGGGGCCCTTTACTGATGCAGGGAGCTTTGACCTGGGCATGGGAGCTTTTCCCGCAGCCTGAAGCCACGTTTGCACCTTGCAGGATGACTGCTACTACGAGGGGTTTGTGGAAGGCTCCCCGGGATCCATCGTCTCCCTCAGCACGTGCTTTGGGATCAGGTAGGGCTCTTCCCAGGGGAGAACAAGGGGTTTGGTATCAAATTAACCAGGCTGGGCATTTATTTCCCTTTTTAAAGTGGGTGCCCTCACTTCTGTGTGCGATGCTTCCTGCTGCATCCTGCTACTAAAATCTTCAGATTTTCAGATCTTCAAACGTAGCTATTTTTTTTTTTTAGCATTACAGATTTTACAGCACCTCCAGTATAGATTTCAAAGGCAGATATTTCATAGAAAAACAGTTTTTAATGAAATTTTTGGCCAAAGAATGTGCTTTATATAGCCTCTAAGCAGGTAGCAGGTTTGACATGCCAAGACAGCTCCAAGACTTACTTTAAAAGGCAGTAAACTGAACAAGCCCTTCTCGAGAAACTTTCCTCTTCAGGAACACTCCACATCTGGGATATATTTATTTCTGATAGTGCAAGCTCTGAACATGAGACAGAAAGGGTATCTGTACGGGCATAACAGCCTCCAGCAAATCAGACTTCCCAAAATACGGGTGGTCACCCACAACCATCACCAACATCCCTCTTGAAGTCCTTCCTGTAGAAATTATTCCCTTTATAATATTAGTCAAACAAAAAGGAGTACCAGCATAACCTCTCCTCTGAAGATTAAGAGGATATTTAAATGAACCGTGCATAGCTCAGCAGTCTTCTTACACTATCCCTCTGCAACGCTATCAAACCCAAACCTTCCATCTTCTCCAGAAGCAGCAGCCCTGGGGAGCCGGAGTGGCTTTTTTTTTTTTTTTTTAAAGAAGTTGTCCTAACTTTGAAAATGTTTAATTTTATTTTGTATTGTTTTCACTGGCTTTGGTGGAAGGAAGTTATTCAGTCTTCCATGCAGCCGTCCATGACTTACAGCATCCAGCAGAAATGCTCACGCAGCACAACTGCTTTAGCAAAGCCTTCTGGGTTTCCAGCTCAGTGTTTGATGAGGCCACGTCTTCCTATTGTGGTACACAAACCAGTAATTATGAATGTTTTAGGACTAAATAACTCAAACTCTGGCAAAACTAAGACCCATTGAGCCTCTTTTATAAGACCAGGCATGAGATTGAGATTTGGTAGACCTACCTGCACCTTCTTTCTCAAACAAGCACCCCAAAAGGTCTCTGAATTAAATGACTTTTCTTAGGATGCAAACTTATTAGCAGATGCAACCTACTTAGCTGCAGTATCTACGCAGGGATAAACAGATCCTAAAGATGGATGCTCCTTGAAAGAGCCATAGCACAGAGCTTTTATTGCCTTCTCACCTTCATTTAATATATAGCATTCATCTGCAGCTTCTTCAGCTTTTCCCAAAGCTGCATGATTGCTCTCTCAAGGCTGTCTTATATATCCTAAACCTTGGGCATGACACTTTTTTTCCATAGAAGATCTTTTAGGTGAGCTCCTTGTAACCTCTCACGGGATCCCTGCCCACAGAAGGAGTGGTATGAAAGAGCTAAATCTTTCCATATCCCCCCTTTAAAAAAAAAAAAAAAAAAACCCATAAAATATGGGCTGATCCAAATAGCCCTGAACCTCAGAGGTGGCTCCTGGCGCTTCTACCTGTTGGTGAGATGCACAGGGCTGCCCCGCATCTCCAGCCACGCTATGATGAGCACCCTGCACCTTGTTTATTTTTGTATTTACTAAATAGTTTAGTAAGTCATTTAGTTCGCCTCTTTTTCTGACTTCTCTGTTTGAAAATTCGCAGTGGAGTTTTGCAAATCGGAGATCTGAGGTACGAAATTGAGCCCGTGGAGAACTCCTCGACGTTTCAACACCTTATTTACCGAAGGGCGTTGGAAAGCGGCTCACGTCAGCTGTGCCAAGTGCCCGAAGAGCATAAGGACCATCTGCCCGAAGACAGAGAACCCGCGAACAGGAGTGGTAAAACCCTCATTATCGAAGTAAGGACTCCCCATCCACTCATGTCGATGTTGCACACTCATGTGTATACATATGTTAAATGCTGGGAGTGATCCGCCCATAGGGAAAATTCATAAAAGCATGACAGGGGTTTCACACAAGCATCTGCAGGTCTGGAAGCAAACAGGATTTCTGTATAGCGACAATGAGCAAAGCACCCTCACATGATATGGAAACCATACCTACAGCCATGCCTAAGCATCACACTGTGAAATGAAGACCCCCATTTTGGTTCTGGAGGAGTGTTAGGTAGCACTTTGTCGGGTGCAGATCATCCTGCCCTGGGTTTGCTTCTCTCTTGAGATCCCTTCCCGCTTGCCAGTTCATCTCACAAAAAATATTCAGGTCTTAAAAATGGTAGTTGAAATGGAAGTGGAAGTAGCAAACAAGAATTTTTTTAAGACGGTGATAAAGAAGGGAGTTGACATGTCTGTCAGCTCCAGAGGTAAAAGCAGCTGAAGGTTGCAATAAACAAATCTGAAATTATTCATTATTTTTAAAGACAGTTAGATAACATTTCTAAATAAGCTGCGATCAGAAACTATAAAAGCAATGATTTTGATCAATATTGACTTTCTACTATAGATAATCTATTGACAATCCAGTATTTTACTGCCTGACTCCAGAAAGGAAAGTGTAGACTCGTGGACCAGGGGTCTGCATCCAGAGCTCTTCCCTCCAGACCCTCTTCTTGTAGGGCTGCCCAGCCAAGGAGCCTGGGAAGGACACAGCTTGGCGGGTGGGATGTGCTCCTGGGATGTGGGTGCTATCAGCCCCTCTGACAACAGTCTTGAGCTCCATCTCATAGAATCATAGGATGACCCAGGTTGGAAGGGACCACAGGAGGGCTCAGGTTCAGCCTCCTCCTCCACGCAGAGTCAGCTCTGAGGTCAAACCAGGTTGCTCAGGGCTTTATCCAGTCGGATCTTGAAGACCTCCAAGGATGGAGACTGCACAACCCCTCTGGGCAACCTCCTGCCATGCTTGAATCTTCCTTATTAGTGTGCCAGAAAGAGATGCTCTGAGGACGTAATTCCCCTTTTCTAGAGAAACCTCTGGTCACCTTCCAGTGCTCGCTCTAGTTTTCTAGAGAAACCTCTGGACACCTTCCAGTGCTTGCACCTGGAGGTGCAAGTCTTCGGGGCCATGGCTGGGTGCCTCTCCCCCCGCAGTCACTTTTGCTGAAGTCTTGTGAGCACTGAGGAAGGGGGAAGGTTATGGCACCTGCCTTTACTGATGCTACTCCTGCTCCTACATCCTATTCATTTGCTTTTCTTTTCCCTCATCGAGTAGCAGAATAATTTTGAGTCTCGTCACGGTTCATCGTACTTCTCTGATAGAGTTGTTCACAAATCTGCCAGCACGCTGTGCTAACCACAGGCTGCTGGGATAGATGCTGAGCAATTTCTGCTCTGGGTCTGACTCCCTTGGGACTTCATTTAATGCATCTTTACATCGTGGCAATAAAGATCAGCAACTGCTCTCTCTGTGTCTCTAGTTAGTATTCACCTTACAGTAAGCAAATCTGAACTCTACTGCCCCAGTTTGCTTAAATTACATAATAAAAAAGCCCTAGCGATGTCAAAAAGCACACATCTGCTGGTTCTTTTCTGTTCAGAAACACAGTTCCCATGTTATCAAAGGAAATTACTTTGTTCTGACATCACTTGATATTGGATGTTACTGATACAGTTGTTTTCAGAAACACCTTCGTTAGAAAAATAGCTTATTTGCTTTGATTTGTGAATGCGTTTAGAGCTTGTGAGGACTTTTGTCATTGCCGTGCCTGCTTTCAAAAGAGCTGAGATAAAGTGTTATTTTTGTACCTACGAGTGTGGATTATTTATAGTGACAGGCTGGCCTATGCCAGCGTACTGTGATTGCATTCGGTGAAAGAAATAGAGAGTGACATTCAGAGATGCTGCCTCCTGATAATAATATGAAGCATTTAGATGAAAGAATTACTTATCAGCTCCCATGGCAGAAATATAGTTTTATAAATTGCTACTATTTCACTGAATTTACTGAGAACCTGCCAGGGGAAGAGGATAATTTATGATAATAATAAAGTGGTATTTGTTCAACAGAGAAGGGAGATGAGTCCCCATGCTTAAAATTACTTAAGCAATAGCATTTTTTTAGCCATGCATACTTCTGCAACAGCCACACCATTTAGAAAGTTGTCTTTCTGAGAGAGAACAACTCCTCCTCCTCTCTCCTACCACCAAAACGCCTGGGAACTACTCAAGAGAAATGCTAACATGTCTTCCTCATCCCCATCTCAACCAGTGCCAAAGCTACCACCCAGGCTTTTGTAGGATCAGCTTCTTTTTCTCCGCGTTACTTGACCAAATCTGCAGATCTTGAATGTCCTCACAGTCTCACTGTACGCTCACCCCATCAGAGATGGGACGATGCTGCCACTGAGCAGTACCGTGCTCAGAGGAGAAGAATAACCCCCCAGATTACTCATTAACCAATTTCTACCAGCAGTTAATGTGCTGGATGTACAAAATGTAGAAGTCAACGAGCTCTACCCAGCCCAAGACTGAGCGCATTGCACTTAGAGCAGATTTTAACTATGGAGCTGCCCCTGCACAGGTAAATGTGCAAAGGGCACAAGCAAGAAATACTAAAAACCTTATTTCCAGAGGCTGCTGGATCCCAGGCGCAGTACATGGTGCCTCTCACTGGCTGGGTCTTTCAGTGGGCACGCTCCCATTTGCTGTATTACGCAGGTGTGCTGGATAAAATGAAGAAAAACTAAGAGTTATTTTTGTGGTTTTCATACAGCTTGAACCCTTTCACTTCACGACCAGTTTCTATCTGCAATCATCTGTTTACCCTCCTGGTTTCTAGCATTGAGCTGCTTGATGCAGGCAGCTCGTGTTGACCCCACTCAATTCTCCCTTTGACGCAGTTTTTGGGGTGCCAGAAAAAACAGTCTGAGCACGTGCAAAAGTCTGCAGCTCACAGTGAGCTGATTTAACATGAGCAATGCCAGGTAATCCCCCTGCTACCAAGAAAACCCCACCTACAACTGTGTTCTGTCTCTCAATCTCTCCGCTCTCGCCCTGATTACTCATTACACTCATTAAACCTTCTCTAATGCATAATTGCTCTGTGTTCTCGTACTTAAGGGAAATTCTGGATTAGCTTGAGTAACACCACCTTGGTTTTTCCAATGCGGCGTAAGCCTTAAAGCTCCTGAACCTACCTCAATAACCGCAGCGTGATTTGTTCGCTTCCAGGAGTTTCCCGGTCTTCAAAGCCTGCCCGTGCCCACCAGATACTTGGAACTGGCTCTGATCACAAACAAAGAGCTGGTAAGCACCAGGAATTATCACCATGCTATGGCCATTGTGTTATATTGGCATTCAGCGTTGTAACACAGCCCTTCTCCCCTTTCAGTTTAAAGTTAAGAACTACAACGAAACGCTGATGCTACATCTGTTCATTTCGATAAGCAACCTCCTGAACATGGTGAGTTTTAATGATGTGGTAATTATGACTGCCGTTCTGCTCCGTTGGTTGTCTGTCTAACCCACAGCCCTGGGAAAGATCTGCGCCTGACTGCAGCTACTCTACTAGGAACCAATGTGTTCCTCAATGCTATAAAACCCACTTCAACTGTTACAAAATTGCTTCAGATATGAGTGAAGTCAGTTTAAAAATAATTTTGAAATCATCCCTATAAAAGGGTTGATTTGGAATATGCATTATTGTTATTAAATGCTTCCTGGTAGCTGATTACAACCTCCCTTTCTCTTCATCCTCTCCTTAGAATAGAATCACAGAATCATAGAAGCGTTTAGGTTGGAAAAGACCTTTAAGATCATCCAGTCCAACCAGTAACCTAACATTACCAAGTCCACCACTAAACCAATTAAGGGGAGAGTAGCAACCCCATGCCTCCTGGCTTGGTGGCTGGATCATTTATAATGAAAGTAAAAACCAGGAATCATTAAGATTGGAAATGACCTCTAAGATCATCAGTCCAACCATCAACCCAACACCCCCATGCCCACTAAACCATGTCCCAAAGTGCCACCTCTGCCCGTTTTTTGAACTCTTCCAGGGATGGGGACCCCACCTCCACTCTGGGCAGCCTGGTCCAACGCTTGACCACTCTTTCCATGAAGAAATTTTTCCTAATATCCAATCTAAACTTCCCCTGGCGCAGCTTAAGCCCATTTCCTCTTGTCCTATCACTAGCTACTTGGGAGAAGAGACCAACACCCACCTCACCACTACCTCCTTTCAGGTAGTTGTAGAGAGCAATAAGGTCTCCCCTCAGCCTCCTCTTCTCCAGGCTGAACACCCCCAGCTCCCTCAGCCGCTCCCCACCAGCCCTGTGCTCCAGACCCTTCCCCAGCTCCGTTGCCCTTCTCTGGACACGCTCCAGCACCCCAATGTCCTTCCTGTACTGAGGGGCCCAAAACTGGACACAGTTAACCTTGCTCTGAGTCCTCCAAAACAGGACATGAGTTTTTATCCGCTGCTGCTTCTCTGTGAATACACTGACAAGGCACCAGTGCCTCAGCCACAAGGCACTCAAAAATGAGCTACGCAGAAAGCTCCATTAAATTAATATAACGCATGAAAATAAATGCTCAGCTCTTTCAGTTTTAGCAAGAAACTGGTTCTTGCACGAATAACGTGGAGACAAGCGTGGTGCACAGGGTCGCTGCACGCCCTGTGGGCTGCAGGGGATGCAAGCTCTTGCTGTCTTCCAGGTCTACAAGCACATGAAGCTGCAGATCGTCATCAGCGCGGTGGAGATGTGGACCAGGACGGACCAGGTGATGACCGCCCACAGCCTGGCCCGGACGTTGCAGGTTTTTGCCACGTGGTGTCAGAGGGATGCTGTCGGTCGCATTAATTACGACCATATCCAGTTACTGCTGTAAGAGTCCTGCGTTTTAATCACTCAGCTCACATACTGGCTGTGGGGAGATAAGCAGGGAACAAGAATATTTTTGTCTATTTCTGCTTCTAATTTTTACATATATTTGCTGATAAGTCTTTTCTCCTGGTGATCTCTTGTGGAAAAAAATGTGACTGCTTAATCAGTCCATGTACTAATCAGCACATATTTGTCTTAGAATCATCGAATCATTTAGGTTGGAAAAGACCCTTAAGATCATCAAGTCCAACCGTTAATCTAGCACTGCCAAGGCCACCACTAAACCATGTCCCCCCTAAGCGCCACATCTACATGTCTTTTAAATACCTCCAGGGATGGGGACTCCACCACTTCCCTAGGCAGCCTGGTCCAATGCTTGACTACCCTTTCCATAAATAATTTTTTCCTAATTTCCAACCTAAACCTTCCCTGGCACAACTTTAGGCTGTTTCCTCTCATCCTATCGCTTGTAACTTGGGAGAAGAGCCCAACACCCCCCTCCCTGCCCCCTCCTGTCAGGCAGCTGCAGAGCGATCAGGTCTCCCCTCAGCCTCCTCTTCTCCAGGCTGAACACCCCCAGCTCCCTCAGCCGCTCCCCACCAGCCCTGTGCTCCAGACCCTTCCCCAGCTCCGTTGCCCTTCTC